ATGTTGTTGTTTTCTTCCTCTCAAAATGGTAGTGTTTGTCCAAGAGTCACCAGGAGTAGAACCTGCCTCAATGGCACCTAAAAACAGCTTTCATCCTGGACTGGGTTTGTGTATGCACACCAAAGTAAGTAAGTAAAAGTAAGTGTTCTTGTTTGTTTGTTTTTTTATAATGCATGGCTATTTTTACTTGCCACTAGCAAAATGCTTTGAAAAGATGGTCAGATGAGAAAAGCTGGCATTGATGGCAAAGCCTGGAAAGAATGGCAAAGCTATAATGATACAAGTATGCTAATAAGAAATGGAAAGATAAGTAATCACACAATCTCTATTGTGTCAATTATTTGTTTGTTAGATTTAATAATCTAACAATCTTGTCAGGAGCTCAAGGCAGCATACACCACATTGTTTTCCTATTTTTCCCCACAGCTGCAAAACTGAATGGTAGGTTGGACTGTCAAAGAGGGACTGGCCTAAAGTCACCCAATGAGCTTCCATAAAGTGATGGGAAAGGCAAATATTAAGGTGATGTGCTGCATATGTTAGTAGCCCTTGCATAGAAATGTTACAATTGAGTTACAAAGTTCTATTCATCATGCAAAGATTGCTAGCACCAAAAGAATGACCACAAGGATATGATTTTGGCATTCATCCACAATATATATCCTGATTTGTTAAACAAACATTTAAAAAACATTATTTTCTATATGCATATTTTATATACTTTTCCAATTAAGTGATTAATAATCTGACTCACTGGTCTCTCATTATGAAAAGTATAATAAATGTAAAAGTATAATATATAATAAAGAATAATAAATGTGATGGTTTATAAGGTTAGCCTTTTATGTTGTTGTTAGACTACCAAACTAGCTCTTAAGAATTAACAACAGAACTGAAAAAAATCTAGAGCTAGGAATGGGATTGACGGACTAAATTTCAATTAAGAAAATACTCCAGATGTTAACATGTGGATTCTGAAAACTGCAGATGCCTTCACTGTAGACTAAAGACCCTTTGTTTTCATAGCTACTACAGCTGGATTCTGTCCATCCCAGTTCTTAATCATCTACAGGTTTCTTGCTCCTAGGATTACAAACAAGGCAGCCCTACCTCTCACTTATAAAGCCATGTATTTTGCTCACCATCCCAATTTTAATCTTTATTTCAGTCGTGATGTAACTCAGATTTGTAACTCCTAAACACAAATATACCTATCTGCACCATTTATTGCATATTGCTGCCTCTTTCTTCTCAAAGAAGCTAACAATCTTACTGTTTCCAAAATTTGCAATGCAATATAAGGGAATAAATGTAAAGTATCATTTTTTAAAAATGCAGTTATTGAATTTGCATTCTGCTTTTTCACCTGAAAATTGATGTCCAAGGAAGCTGAAAACCAAAATACAAAAACAAACTAATTAAAAACAGTTTAATAATTAAAACTGTAAACTTAAAACAATAACCATATAATACAAAACATTCTTTGTCCAATGTTTTCATTCAGTTTTTACACAAACAGTATGCAACATGGATTTATATAATAAATGGATTATTTCTTATCACTGGTATTTCTTCCTACTGATTTAAAAATAGGTATTCTGAAGTATCTTATATTTTAGGACAGTTGGGCAATATTAAAATATCTTAGGACAGTTGGGTAATATTAAAACAAATGAATACATATAGGTTCAACAATTATCACAGCCACTGAGTTCCTTAGCAACCACTCAAAAATTCTCCATTTTTTTCAATACTTTACATACTGCCACATACTTTAGAATCTGAATCTGTGCCATGGCATGTAACATCGTCTATTAACATTTTCACACATAGATCCATTCATATGTAATGCCAAGCCAAGGTTTGATGTTACTGGGAAAAGTTTAAGTGGCTCTTCAACTGTTTGTCCCAATTATCAATTTTTCTGGTCTCAAATAATGTTATTACCCACCCCACCCCCCTTGCCACACACACACATATACACAGACTCTGTTGTTTTATACAAGCATGTTGGCAGCAGCAGTCTCAAATCCTCAATTCACAAATAAGGAATTAGAAATTGCTCCATTACACCCAAATTACCCCCAGTTTAAGAACCACTGTCCTAGAATCTGATTCTATGGGCAAACCACAATCTGAATTGAAAGCAAGAATTAAACCATGGTTCCCAATTTTGGTTTGCCCAGCAATAGTTGGGCAAACCAATGTGTTCAAAATTTAGCAACCACACTTGTTGGTAAATTGAGTCAGTGAGGTGCAATTCCAGAGAAAAAGATACATGAGCTTAATTTTGTTCACCATAGTTCAGTGTCATGACTAGCCAGCCAGCCCTTAGTATTTTATATGTAATAAGTGTTCAGTGTTGAATGCCTCTTTAGATTGACAAGTATTTTGTACCACCCATTTTGCTAGAGGAATTGGGAATACGTTTTCAGGCAAAGCCCAACTTACTATAAAGAAAGGCAATGAGACTGTGTCTCTCAAATCTGCCTTATATCCTGCAGAGGAATAGCATTACTCTATTTGGAAAGAGATTCTGAAAGTAACTGTGTAATGCAAGGACAAAATAATTGCACTGCAATATACTAACATTTCCTGAATCAGCAGCAAAAATGTGAGGTTTGTACAATAAAAAAAATTAAAACATACAATATTCTGCTTTGCATCATTCCTGACATTGGAAACAGGATGGTATGAATGTCCACTGAAATCAGCCAGATTTTCTTCTAAATACTGGTCAATTAATTCATAGTTGGGAAATTGCATCTGTAGCAATTGTACAGAACATAAATATTAATAAACTTTGAAAACCAGTTGTCTACCATCGTTGACAGGTATACTAACTGAATGTTTTATTCGGAAGTAGCACTGTAATAACAACTTTTTATTACATTTTAAAATGTTCAGTCTATCTGGATACCTGGCATATAAAATCTGTGGTGCTCACAGTCCATTCAAAGCATATGTTTTAAGCTGGTGCCCATTTCATTCAAAGGAATACAGAGTAAAACAATTCTTAGACAATGTCTTTCAGGAATGTTTCATTTAACTCCAACCAGTTTTTACATTTACTTACCCAAACATTAAACCACTAAATTCAAAGAGTGTTATTATTCTTCAGTCTTGCCATATGTTGTCTATCCAATTTGTGGGTTCATATGAAAATGTGTGGTTTCATATGAAAGCACAGTACTGCCATACCGTGCACATACTCATACACAGATTTTGAGTAGTTATATTTCCTTTTGCACTTTAGAAGAACAACCAAGAGTAGTGAATAAGATGCCTAATAGCCTGGCTTATTGTGGCAGATCCTTCAGGAAGAAGGTTAAAAAAAAAAAATCCAATGTGCATGAACAGTTAACTCCAAAAGGATTAGCAAGGACAAATAAGGATTCACCAAACTTACCTACTCGGAAGTTGGGGGCTGTCAAGGTGTCAGCAGCATGCCCATTTTCACTAATCAGCGTTGTAGTGTTTCCTTTCTCACAGCTGTTCTGACAAGTGCCTTTTTTACAAGTCACTTTACAAATGCTGGGTGTAAAGACCACCTTTATACGTCCCGTGTGATTTCCAACTGGGAGCAGAGGCAAAGAAAAAAAGAAAAACAAATAGATCACTTTGGTAGCCATTGATTTCTTTCCAATGATTTACAGATACAAAGGGTTTTGAAAAGCCACAAGCTCTAAATGGAAGAGGGCAGCCGATAGTGTTCTCTCTTTGACATCCAGTGATGCCTCTGAAACAGGAGTAGGAAGCTTAGCAAACAAGACGCCGGGATTCACTCCAAATCCACATTTAAAATCAAGTCACTGGAGTGGGATTAGAAATCACAATGCTGCACTTTATTCACAGTCAAAGAGCAATACCAAGGAGCTGACAGCTTAAAAAGCCAACCCTGACACGCAGATGTAATGTAAAGTGACTGAGCGTTCACCTAGAGGGTGAATAAACTCTTGCGTCTTTCCCTCCTGCATACTTTTCCTGATTCTACACTTATTAAGTCACTATTTGTAGCCCGACCCCTGGAAATGTTTTAGGCATGCCGCATGTCTGAAAACATCTGTCTCAAATCTCCTGGCACCCTGGCCTGAAGTGAACAAATCCTCTGACGCAGCTGCCGGGACCCTTTATTTTTTTTTCCACAGATTCTTGGAACAGTCACTCCATGTGGATTTGCACATTTATAGGTTTTACTTTATTCTTAGCTTCTAACATGTACCTCAAGGTTTCAGTTGTAACTGAAGGTGGTGGTAGTGGTGGGGCTCAACAGTGTTACAGATTAGGAATGGACAAATCATACCTATTTCACAAAGTTCAGTGCTAAGCGTTGTCTGACCAATTGCGTCATTTTTTTTTTTTAAAAAAGGTACAGTACAAAGTTTGCATTTACCTTGTAAGCAGGTATTTTTGGACAAAACTGTTCATATACGCATTTTTTTCAATAAGTTTCCCCCATTTTTATATAGCTTTTCCCCTTATACAACTATTTTTATATGTATATAAAAATATAAAATTGTACAGTAATACCTCGGTTCATGAACACTTCTGTTCACGAACAATTCGGTTCACGAACAGCACCATTCGCAAAATTGTGCTTCTGTTCGCAAACTCTGCATCTACGAACACGACCCGCAGCCATTTTCCCTGCTGTGACACGTGGTCGTGGCTTCCTGTAGGTGAGGGAGACTCTCCCTCCAAACAATATCCGCCTCCCCACCCACCTTCCTGTCCTCCACGCCAGAAGTCACCTCA